TACAGAATACCTCTCCAATGCTCAGTCAAAAATGAGCTAAGACTGAGAAATTCACACAGGCCAGAGAAGCCCACAGAGATGAGATAAATAGATGTGGTGTGGTATCCTGTATGGAATCCTGGAACAGACAAAAGACATTAACTAAAAACTAATAGAGATCTGAAAAAGACTGTTCATAGGAAATTACCATAGTTGACTCCTTTGTTGAAAAAAAAAAAAAAAAGTCCCATAATAATGTCAGATGTTAACAGCAAGAGAAACTGGATTGGGGCATATTGGTACCGGAATATAATTTAACTGTACAAAAAATTTTTTTTTTTTTTTTTTTGTGTCAGAGATCAAACTCAGGACATTGTTCTTGCCGGGCTTTTTGTATTGTAGGGAAGGGTCTACAGGGTGTTCAGAGGCTCACTACTAGATCAGACTCTAGTGATCTGCCTGTTCCACTATTGCATTTGCCAGGGAAGTGCTTATTCCACTGAGCCATCTCCCAGGCCCCTCAATTGCCATCTCAGTGTGCCCCCAGGGTCGGGGCCAGCACGGCAGGCCCAGGGATGGCAGGCCCAGGGATGGAACCCCTGGATCCTGTGCCTGCTTGCAGGTGCTTTAATCTGCTGAGCTATTTGGCCGGCCCTAAATCAGGATTTATCAAATGAAGATTTGTGGAAGTCCTGTGGGAGGAACTGATCCAAGCAGAGCGCTAGGCTCGTCCATCCAGAGGACAATTTCTAGCAATCTGATGGGAAGAAGACTGGTGACTTCTCTTGACTGTTTCCTCTGGGAGCAAGCACACAGATTTACTTAGTATTATATTTATTGGGGTGCTTTGGAGAACAGATGGAGATGATGAGAGATGGGCTCGTTCCCTTAAATCATTGCCTGTCAATGTGTGCAAATTCTCACTTTTCCCACCCCAGGAAGCCACCACTGCTTCTCAGTGCAGCTGCCAAAAACTATCTGCAGAGAAAAAGCTTCACACAACAAGAGCTGTTTGCTGTGTGCAGGGCTGGCACAGAGCAGGCGCTGCATAGGTGTTAATCTTTATGGCTGCCACTTACTATGCATCTGGCCCAGTGCTTGGGCTGAGAAAGGGGTTCTTGTGGGATCCTCCCTTGAGGATTAGCATCATCCTCATTTTATAGACCAAACAAGCTAAAAGACCTTGAAAAATGCCCCCAAGTTGCAATTGCAAAGTAGAGGTTAGAGATTTCAAATCTGAGTCATCTAAGTCCCAATTGCATGTACCAGCCAACTCTAATGTCAGTCCCTTCCCTCTAGCCACAGCCCTGGGCTCCCAAATACCTGGGGAGCAGGTCCTGGGCTGCCTCTTCCTCCACCTAGGCAACCCACACTCATTCCTTCATCTGTGGCCTCTAGACAACAGTTGTTTTGTCTTAAGCCCATCACTTCATTTTAAAACTTAATTTTCCAATTTTCCCCTTAGAGGTGCTCTTTGCTATTCCTTCAGGCTATCAGCCTGGACAGGCAACTGGAACTGAATCCAGGGAGACTTACGCTTATTACAAGCATTCAATTAGTTAAGTTTGAATGATGCAGCGTAGATGCTTGCAGTCAATGCTTGGAGACTCAGTCTCCTCCACCTTCATCTTTTAATGGCCCTTTCCATATTTATTGCTGTCGATCCAGATGCTTTAAACCTATCTTTCACTTGGTATAATTTGATAACTGCTCAGTCCAAGTGCTTTCTCAACAAACGTTCACCCGATACTGTAATATATTTAAAAGATTTACTTTCCCTTTCACTGAAGGGATTCCACAGGAAAAGCAGGCTGGGTCTGCCTGGGCAGAGAACCCAATTTTACTAGTGAACTTTTTAATGCATCATTTATTAAAATGGACCTGGAGCCTTGGCACAAGGCTCCCAACTCACCCTTTCCCAGCAGAGGGCAGCTCCAGGCAGCAGCTGGCCACATCCAAGCCCTGCCCGGCTCTGACCCCTGATGCAGTAACGACAAACCAGCAGAAGGAACCATTAAGGCCTGAAGGACATGGCTGTGAGTCTAGCTCTGGAGTCCAATGATTCTGCATCCCCATCCTAGAGTATGGGCTCTGGGTTCCAGTCCTGCCTTTGCAAATCTGGCTAAGTCACCTTTCAGAGTTTTTTACCCTGAGTTCTGCTTTGTACAATACGATCAGGGTGGTCATGGGACTTGTACAAGCCCAGCACACAGCAAAACCTCAGAATGAGGATGCTGCATTGTCCTCTGAGCCTCTCTGAGGTCTCAACTTCTTCACCTACTGAAGAGAATGAACAGCTCTGGGTTTCCAAAGATACTGGAATGATCACATGAGAGAATAAACGGGAAGCCCCTGGGAATTGCACAGCGCTTTGATCAGGCGATGAGGCCACTGACTTCTGAGTGGGGACATAAACCATGTCTTCCAAAGGAAACGTTCCACGTGACTCTTCCTCCTTTGGGTGGACTCATGTCCAAGCAGAAGGGGCGCATGGCCCTAACTACACAGCACTCTTCAGCACTTTAGTGGGAAAGTAAAGGGGACCCAGGGGACAGCTAGGCTCATGGTACTTATAGGCATTCTAGCTCAGAAGCACTGGGAGTCAGCAGGGAAGAGCCAGGTCATTACCTGGGAGCATCATGCAGGTACCCCATCATCTCCGTGTCACCAGGTTCCACTTGCCGGCCCTCCCTAAGCACGATGGCTCTGAAGAATAGCTCTAGGCTGGGCCTGCAGAGCTTCAAGGCCTCCACTGCCTGGGAGTGGGGATGATACATCAACCCCTCCCCTATTGGGCCCCCAGAGCCCCTCTTCCTCCTCCCCCTTTCCTGGGTACTCTTACCTGCTATCTGAGTCACACTCTAGCTCCTGTCACTGTGAGCTCTATTGTGATTCCCAGCTGACAGTTCTACAACAAACATATTAAAAGCTCCCAGCACTGGGGCTTCTGGATGTGTAACAGCCCAGGAAGAAAACTTATAGCCATTCTTCACCCAGAACCCCCCTCCTTGACCCCTACCCACCCAGTGGCCTGACCCATTGCCATTAACTGCCTCACATCTAACAGGTGGCTAAGATTCTTAACAAGCTTTTGCAAGTGGTGACAGAAAAGGCTGCTGTGGGGGCCTAAGATCTCCTGGCTGTGGGACCTGAAGAATGGGCCCATCCTCAGGCAGGACTAGCGAGTGCTGGAAAGGAAGGCTGCAGAGCAGAGTGGGTCCCACTCCCAGTCCTGCCTTTGGGACAGGTGGCCCTCGCTACTGGTCAGTGGCTTGATACTGAATGCTCCTATGCACTGAGCACCGTATCCCTCTTCTCAGTCTTAAGGCTGGAGGTAGATTGTCCCCTTTATAAATTAGGCAACTGAGGCTTATAGGAGTTCGAGGACTTCTTGTGTTCATGCTCAGAGCTAGGAGCTGGTATTTGAATCCAAGTCTGTCAGCCCATTATCCTTAAAATGTGGTTTCAAGCTAGGCATAGTAGCTATAATCTCAGCACTCTGGGAGTCTGAGGCAAGAGGATCACAAGTTTGAGCCGAGCCTGGGGAAATTCTGTGACTTATAGAGCCCTCCTCTCAAAAAACAAAACAAAACATTATAAAGGGGGCTGGGGATGTAACTCAGGGCTAAACCCCTGGGCTCAAACCCATGGAGCATGGGGACACATGGGACACTGGCAGCCTCCTAACTCATCATCTGTATCTCACCAGGAATGGCAGAAGCCCCAGACAAGCCGCCAACATACAAATCCAAAATGAAGTAAATTCACACTCTGGCGATGGCCTTGACCCACCAGCCCACCTCTCCTCCTTTAGAAACCCACCCACGGCACCACCCCCATACCTTCTGCCTCCAAGGCTAAAGCCACCCTCGGCTTCTGGGAGCAACCAGCAAATCCCCCAGAACCAACGTGGAGCAAAGAAAAGAGTGAGACACAGGAACAGTTCTTTATTGTACATTGGAGAAATAGCCCTGTGTGCTGGTTCAAGGTGCAACATACAGAATATTGAAGAAAAGAAGAAACTGAGAAAGGAAAGGAAACCTCTGGAGGTCCAAAGTTGCAAACAAACAAACAAAAAGAAAAATGGTAAAAGATTCCTCACGCAAGAGGCATTTTTGCAAATACCATGCAAAACAGGCAGCTGGTGTGCCTTAAGAGAATCCCTATAAATAACAGAAAAGACACTCCAAGCATTCCTTTACGTGGACTCAGAGCACAGGGAAAAAGAAAGAAACCAAAATGCCTTTTGGCATTTCAAGATATTTGGCACTCTTGTGATTACATTTTTTTTTTTACAGTCCATTAAAGAGAATAAACTGACACAATATTAGAGAAAAAAACAGGCAGCTCACACAACAGACTGCAGAGGGAGGTTAGAAAAAGCTCAAGCAATTTTTTCTTTGTTTTTCATGGTTTTTTTTCCAGACATATAAAATGTGTCCATTTGCATTAACTTGGGCAAATAGCTCGCAGCAACAAGGAACACAAGCTTTTACAATGCATTTTAAAATAAAATGAGGATCCTTTCTATGTTCCATTCCTTAGAAAAGTTATCTTCTGGTTTTAAACACATTCCTAATAACTTCAAAAGATGAGCAAAATAAAACAGTATCTACAGAGATCCTGTTCTGATTTTTTTTCATACATCCAAGAGTAACATAAAAAAATAAAACCAGACAGCATTTCACGTCCAAGTGCACAGAATCATTTTTGCAAGATTAAATAATGTAAACATTGGGTACAGCCAAATCAGCGAAGAATGCCAACACCTCAAAACACCCGGTGCTGCCGCTTCATTAAGTGGTTCAAAATCCAGATCTATAATTGTGCAGTGTTCACCGTATAGAAAAAGAAATAGATAGTAATTTTGACAAATAGCTGCAACTGAGACTTCTTTTTTTATATATGTGTATATAGTGATTTTTATACTTTTTTAATTTTATGTATTTTTTTTTAATTTTTATTTTTGCAGAGGAGCCAAAAGGCTGCTCCTCCTCCACCTTCTCCTTCCTCCTCCTCCTCCTCCTCCACCTTCTCCTCCTCCACCTCCTCTACCTCCTGCCTCATCTGTCTCCGGCCTGACACGAGATACAGGTTGTTGATTTCATCGTGGGTAGCAAGCTAGTAATAAATTTCAAAGTGCCTTCTCTTTATCATGCTTTTTGCCAATAACTGTTACCGCAGCTGTTCTCATTCTTTCTTAACCCATTGTCTTTGGGGGAGTTAGACACCAGGAGGTGCCTTGTCGGTCATATTTTTCAGCACGTCATCAATCCTATCATCTTCAATAACAACTGCAAAAAAGGGGGGGAAAAGAGAGGTGAGCAAGATTGGGCCTAGTGAGGGGTCTCAGACATTCAGCTTTACTCCAGTGAGGGGTGGGGAGGAGGGCTCCTCTCTTGGTGTGAAACAGCCCCAGTCTCCTCTGAAGGGGCCAGGGTTCCCTTCCTTTTCTTTGAACTGCCCACCCCAACCTGGGTCCCACTGGATCCTAACTGGAAGAGGACAAGACCCAAACCCAGCAGCCCGGCAGCAGCTAGGGCACATAGTGGCCGAGGCCTCCATTCTCTAGGGCATTTATTTGGAAAGGAGGCTCTGAGGCAAAGCAGAAAAGGGAGTGGACAGGGGGCGGGCCAAGGTCTAGGACCCCTGGAAATGGCGGGAGGGCAGCGCTATTGGCCAAGGCTAGGTGTGGACGTGCAGGGAACTGGGAAGGGACACCAGGGGCGGGTTAGCTGAGCAAGCAAGCCGGCTGGGGTTCGGGCTTGGGCCTGAGCAGGTGCCCCTTTTGCACCACCGGCCGGCAGTCTCAGCCCCTCTGCTCTCCCACCGCAACAGAAGGCAGAGCCTCTTTTTACCGTGTAGCTGGGGCTCTGCCTCTCACCCGTTCCTCAGCTTCTCTGGAAGCCTCCACCTCACCTTCCTCTGTCCCTCCCTCAGCACTAGGCTCGCCTTCGAGGTATTCGTATCTCTGTGTGGCGTGTGGGTCACTCTCATTGTTAGGCTGCGTCTCTGTTCTCCCTTGCCTTGCATCCCCGCTCTCTCTACAGCTCCCTTCCAGAGCTTTGTCCTCTGTCCCCCTCCCCACCTCCCTGCCCCTACCTTAGGGTCCCGGGCTCTCCAGGCAGCTGTTCTGCTCCCTAGCTGTACCCGTGCCTAGGGGCTCCTCTAGGAGCCTCTCAGCGACTGTTACTCTAGGGTTTGTTCACCTCCCGCGCAGAGCGCCCAGGCTTGTAAACGCACACCACACCCGGGCAACTAACAATGAAAATACGATGCCACCCGAGTGCCCCTTACCTCCCCAATAGGAGTAGGATCCTTCCCCCGCAGTTCTTCAGGCCGTCAACTGGACAGCCCTGAGACCCTCCCCCCTCCCCCCCAAGACCTAAACACTGGGCTGCGACTCCACTGCGCAAAACGGGTGGGGGGTGGTCAAAAAGCAAACTTTGGCACAGGTGGGGTCCTCGGTACCACCAACCACCCTCCGCGGCAGCTAGGAGCCGCCACGCCCCCGGGGTGACCCTAGCGGAGATTCGGCTGAAAGGACTCGTTTCTGCAGCTTGCCCCGGCTCGACCCGCAGTGCGGGATCCCCTACTCTGCAGGAGGGGATTCCACCAGGGCGCAGCAGGCTCCAGCGGCTGAGAGACCCCCGCAGGCCGTGGCGCTGGGGAACGAAAGAGGTGGTGGAGAAGGGGGCTTAGCACTCACCCCGCTTGCTCCGGCCGATCTGGCCCAGCTTGGGCGGCCGCTTGTTCTGCCCGGCGCCAAAGAAGTTGTTGGAGTCCTGCAGGCGGCAGGAGAAGATCTGGCCCACGTCGCCGCCGTCGCCGTAGGGGCTCAGCTTCTCGTCGCCGTAGGGCAGCACCTCCGACATGGTCGCGTTCGGGGGCTCGGCGGCGGCACCTCCTCCGCCCGCGTCCCCGCCCGCGGAGGACAGGGTCAGCGGCGCTGGGGCCGGGGGCGGCCGGCTGGGAACGGCCCGCGGGTCGCGGCGACGGAGGCGCCGGCGAGGGGCCGGGAGACACCGCTAGGGCAGGAGCGCGCCGCCCGCGCTAGAGACCCAGCGAGCGCCCGCGAATGCGCTGCGCTGCGCTCGGGCTCGACGCGCGAGTGGCTGCTGCTCCGGCGGAGGAGAGCAGCACTCACATCCTCGGCGCGCTCGCTCGCTGGGGCTCGGGGCGGGGGCCGCCGGGCGGGGCCGAGCCGGGAGGGAGGAGGGCGTCCCTGCGAGCCCGGAGGGCGCGGGACCGAGGAGGGCGCACCCCGCGCGGCGAGCGAGGCGGGCCGGGAGTGCGGGCGCGCGGGTGGCGAGGGCGGCGCAGGGTCCGGGAGGAGGACGCGGGAGCCGCGAGGGGCGAAGGGGAGGGGAGCGAGGGGGAGGGACAGGGAGGAAACCCGGAGAGGGGGAGACGGCGAGGAAAACAGAAGGGGAGAGGGAGGCAGGGGAAGGGTTAGGAGATGGGAAGGAGAGAAAGAAAAGGGGGAACTAGCTGTAGATCGGGGAGGCAGAGGGGAGACGAGAGGAGGAGGGAAAGGAACGGGAAGGAGAGAAAGAGGGTCGAGAGGGAAGGAGGAGGGGAAAGAGGACGAGGCGCAGCCTGCCAGGAGCTGCGAGCGAGAAATGCCGGTCGCAGCACGGAGCGCGGCGCGGGGGCAGGGAGGGGGAGGGGCGAGGGAGGGGACCGCGGCCGGGGAGAGATCCCTGCGAGCGAGCGACGTCACGGGCCGCGCAGGCCGCCCCAGGCCGCGCCGGGCTTCCTGCCCCCGCCCCGGCCCCG